CCCCAAAACCCCAAAACCCCAAAACCCCAAGGAGAATTATATCAGATATAAGAATGAAGTTTAAAAGAAATAATGGATATAGCTAATGAAAATTTATTTATAATAATTAAATACTATTATCAAAATAGGATATTAAGGCATCTAAAATGTCAAATCAAGAGAAGATCGTTGGATTAAGACTATACATGATTATGTTGGCTATGCTTTTAACAGGTACAGCAAACACAATCCTGATGAAAATGCAGAACCTTACAATTGTTGGAGGGGACAATTTTAACCATCCCTTTGTTCAATGCGCAATCATGTTTGTGGGAGAATTTTTATGTCTCGGCATCTATGGGATCAAAATTCTTTTTATGAAATATTAGGCTAGCTAAAAAAGTGGAAGCATTGAACCTCAATCACCTGGAACTAAAGCTGCAAATATTATTCATCTTAAGACAAATATTAATCCATTGTGGCTTGCAATCCCTGCTGCATTTGATATTATTGCCTCTACACTGATGAATATTGCTCTGACAATGGTTGCTGCCTCTGTATATTAAATGCTAAGAGGAATGATTATTATAGTCACTGCTGCTATGTCTATTATCTTCCTTAAGAGAAAGCTATACAGGCATCATTGGTCATCGATTGGTTGCATCTTTTTCGGAGTATTTTTAGTTGGTTTAGCTGCCGTATTAAGCTCAGGAAGTGATGGCTAGTCAACTAATGTCTGGGGTCTACTAATTCTTATTATCGCTCAACTTTTCGCTGGTGGATTATTCATCGTTGAAGAAAAACTACTTGGAGACTATTATCTTGACCCATTGAAAGTAGTAGGATTAGAAGGAATGTGGGGAATGATCTTCTATGCTATACTATTACCAATTTTCCAGCAAATTAAATGTTCCGGATAGCTCTGTCCTTATGGTGTACTTGAGGATACTACAAGAGCTTTCTAAGATTTCGGGGATGATCATGTCTTAATTATTCTCAGTGTTGGAATTTGCTGTTCAATTGCAGGTTTCAATTCTTTTGGAGTTGCAGTAACTAAAAATGCATCAGCTGCTTAGAGATCCACCATCGATACATCAAGAACAGTATTGATCTGGATTTTCTTCTTGGCAATCCCAATCTATGGAACATATTAAGAGCACTTCAAGTGGTTACAATTAGTAGGATTCATCTTTTTAGTCTTTGGAACTCTAGTTTACAACGAGATCCTTGTTTTGCCAGTTCTAGGCTTTGACCAGTATACCAGAGAAGCTTTGGCAAAGAAATCTCATGCCAATACTGACAATAAAGGCCTACTTGACCTTAATAATAATTCTGATAACACTCCCTCAACTAATGATATGGACTATGCTGCAACATCACCTCATGCAGCATATGACGCAAACAGACTTAAGAGAAATATTCAGAATCACATGGAGGATTTGATTAATAAGACTGGGGGTGGAGATGAAGTCAATATGTCTATAGAGGAAAAGAATGAGAAAAATGTTTTCTGAAGACAAGATATCATCACACATAATATTCTAGATTACATTAAATCATCATAATTCATAAAATTCTTTGTTTAAATGCTGATATCTAGCTTATGGGGTTTTGGGGTTTTGGGGTTTTGGGGTTTTGGGG